CGGTTCACTTCAATATATCGAGCTGAAATTTTTATCGCGACTGTTTCTAATGAAGATCAGTCACCCCTGAAAATTTCAGCTCAAACGGACCTTTCTAAGTGACAGCTCAGAGCTGAGGGGGGGGGGCCTTAAATAAAAGCCATCATTATTAGGAAGCGTATATGCACTATATTCTCTTATAATTATTAATTCGACAATTTTCGATAATAGGATATTGTCAAAAAAGAAATTACAATATTCTTAATATCATCCAAAAGTGTTCGGCTACTATGCGTGAGCTTATGTGTATGTGATTATGATTCTCAGAACACAAAATATACTTTTATATACGGACCCATAAGTATAATACTCACACGCGCACCTACATACATATCCACCCACACCCTAATTCAGTTACGTTTCGAATCCACTCGCGGACGCTGATTCAAGTTTGGCCCATCTTTAACGTCAACCGTCGTTCTTCTTCTTGTAAGTAAGTCCGATTGATTTATACTGATTTCAGTAATACCATGGCCTGCTAGTAGATGAATTTCTTCTCTATGATCATTGTTATGTATCGGTATAGTTGGAGTAACATTCGAATACTCAGATTGCTCAAGCAACGGTTCTTTGTCGCTTTTAGATTGATCAACACTTGTTTGTTGATTATCAGAACGTATGGATGTCGGTAGATGTTCTTGAAAATTTGACGATGTTGGCATAGGAACATTGAAAGATTTGTCTTGATGAGTGCCTACCCTACCCTTTTGTTGCCTAAATACATTCAACACGACAATGCACTATTGCTAAAGAATAATAATCAACAAACAAACGTTACCTTAATTTTTTATTACAATATTTTGTTCTTTTTCTTATATTTATATTGTACTCATGTGCCTGTGGGTAACAGTAGTAATATATTTCAGCTGCTTTGTGATACGATAAAAGTGCTTGTGTAAAACACTTTGTTTCTGCATGAACATCAGCTATGCTTTCGTGTAGCTCTCCTAATCGTTGATCGTATGGCCGTAAATTTTTTTGAAGTGTGTTCAATGCTTCTGTATAATACTTTAATGAGTCATTGAATTTCATTTTTTCACTATAGATTTTCCCCAATTTCTTCCATGATTCTATGAAAAACAAGGGGTCTTGATGAGACTGATCTCGCTTAGATTTCAATGCAAGTTTGAATGATATTATGGCCGACTCGTCGTTGTTAATTAATTGATAAAAATTAGCCATACTTATGTGACATTTAGCTGTTTCTCGATGTTTCTCGCCATATTGACGTTTCAAGACTTCTAATGCTTTTTGGTACAGCCTGAGTGCTTCATTTTTATCCTTATTTTCATGAACTGATGCCAACGAACTGTAACATTTTGCAAGCCACTTTGAATCATTGGAATCTTGCGACGCTATCCTTTCTGCTTCCTCAAAATTCCGAATTGCTTCTTCGGGTTTCTTCTCTTTAAACAAGTTTCCCAAACCGTAATAACAGTCTTTCCGCAAGCTATCACTCAATGGCAGTCGTTCCAATAACTCCGCATAAAATTGTACAGCTGTATCTAACGAAGCAGTCTGCATTATCAACCAACCCAGTGATGCTTGGTTTGTTTCATACTCAATATGTTCTTGCCAAAAATGAAGAACATCGCACAGATCGCGATCATCTTCACTACAAAGTTTCAATTTTACAACGTACAGAGCACCTTTATCGACTTCATCGACTTTATCGACCTCATGAATGTTAAAGATAGTTCCTGGTGCGAACAGAATTTCATGTTCATCAGCATAGAAGCTAAGATCTTTTATTTGTGCATATGGACGTGATTTAGAAGATGGATCAACTTCAATCTCAAATAAAATTCTTTTGAACCCTACTCGTGAGTTCAAGTGCTGCTTTTGAACGAAATCAATCGCAACCTGTTTGACAGAAGTACTTGACATGAATGAATTCATGGACACCAGTTTCCCAACAGAGCATATTAACCTTTCAACTTCATTTGACAACATGTTTTGACTCCGATAGACGGTGTACGTGGGTGTTCGATTGTGAGATCTTATAGTTGGATTCGGTTTGCGTCGTTGACTTTCTTGTGTTTCTACCAACTGCTGAATAATGTCAAAGATAAAAAATTGGAAAAGCACCAAGTATTCAAGATCTCTAAACCGTAATGCTTTATTCAACTGTCTGTAAAACGGTGATTCTCGAGTATACCACCAAATAGCTTTGTCGCATGTATATGTATTCTCAAATTCAAGAATGTTTTCTAATGCAGGCGCTTCTTTACAATACGCAGATTTCAGTTTTTCGACCAAATTATGTTTCTCTGCATTTCGCTTTGACTCATGTTCATTTGATGGGAGTGACATATTTATATCCATACGCATTACTGTCTCAATAAATAAATACATCCACATAAATGAAATATTTGATTCCGATTGATATCCATTCTTGTGATTATAAATATTCAATGATAATCGTTCAGCTTCTTGATTATCGAAATTCAAGTATTCGTTTTGTTTATGGCGTATGCTTCTGATAAGTTGTTCTTCATGTTTTAAAACGGTTACCTATTAAGAAATAATTAATTTAATTAGTGAGGAACTATTACAGTATCCATCAAGAAAGAACCATTGGTTCAAAATACTAATTTAGTTCCCTCTAAATATACAGAATTTATTTTTCGAAAACAATCAATCAGTACTAAGTACATTTGAAGATATGCTTGAACAAAAATAAAAAATTTTTTTAAATTTTGTCAGTCGACATTGATCTTTTTATAAGAAGTGAGCTCTTTTATTCAGTCGATTTTTTTCTTCAACGTAAGCGTAAACCTTGATCAAAAACATTCTTGATAACGCTGCTTCTCACTCGTACTCACTATTAGAGGTGTTTGCGTTCTTCACTCCCAAGCGTTCCGTTCTCAAGGGAAAAGAGCAAAATGCATCCGTCTTACCCGTTTCTACGAACGAGAACTTTGCTAGCATTCACATTCCTAGTCATACGAAATAGGACGCTATACGCCTACTCAAGACTCGTAAAAAGATCAATTAATGAATAGTACGAGTGAGATATTGTAAAAGCTGTATTAGAAAATCTCTCATTAGTACACAAACAAAACTAACCACTTAGTGCTTAATTTTGCTTGAAGCTTTTTTTGCTCTGTGCTAACCTACTCGATGGCCCTCATAAGCGATAGATATTCATGGTTAGATTTATTAGTGCCGTTTTGTCTACATGCTGTCGAAAAAAGCTGCGGTCTCCTTATAGTTCATAAAGAATTCGCAATCATCTAAATCTAGAAGAATCACCCAGTATCTAACAATTTTTTGGTAGATAATCAGGTCCTCAAGCAGTTTTCAACTGATTGAGCCCAGAACGATTCTTCGACTTTTCCAAGTTAGAACACTTAGCAAACTTGGCTAGCTGCTGGAACCAGTGACATGATTCTGATTGGCACGTTAGTAACTGCCCAAGAATAGGGGCGGCTCTTTTATCTTTAATTTTCTTTATACTGAAGAATAAAGATAAATGATTTACTTATCGCTATTTTCTAAAGATAAACGATTCATTTGTCGTTGTTTAGTAGAGTATGACTAAATGACTACTCATATTCTATAGCAAATTAAGATATCAACATTCTTCGATGTATCTTGCGCCAAAACTCTTACAATCGCAAATTTCTATCGCCATTGATAAGGATGAAATGAGAAAGTTTTTGACTTACGCGATCCCTCTTGTTTCATACTTTACGTAGATTGGTGTTTTTGACATCTTAGTTTCGAATAAATATTAGCCGAAATGAAAGAAATCAATACATTCTGGCTACAATCAAATTTGACTTTGTTTTGGGTTCAGAAAAAGGTACATTTTAGCAGCATCTCAAAGGAGTCAATTAGTGCCAGTCAAAGTACAGCTAGAAAGTAGAAAAATGTGGGCCATGAACAATCGACAACTTTTCTTTCTACAAGGACCTGTTGTAAGCGTGAAGGGCTCTCTTTCACAACTAAAATGAAGAATGAATGTCTTTTTTAATCCAACTGGTTAAGCTATCTATTGTTACATTTTGTTGACACTCAATGGGTATATGTTACTAAGTCGCGCTCGTAAGTCATAAGATCGGGTTCTCAGGATGATAGACCAGCCGAGAGCCAGTGCAAAAACATCATTCTATATTCATGTCTTTTTGATTCGGTGTTTTGTGTGGACAAGCTGTAGAATATCGTGCGCGATGCTCTTAGTATGAGAGACAACATATTGCACACAGAACGTTCTCTCCATACATACAACAAGAAATGTATGCAGTTTTCAGCCTAACTGATAACGAAGTCAATGCGAATGGTCGAAAATACACAGCTTCAATCCCATAAAGCAGTTGTGGGGTGTGGGTGTGTGATTGTGGGGGTATGTGGTAGTGTAAGTGTGGGTGTGGGTTTGTCTGTCGCAGTCCAAGCTGCGCTTATCCATACAGAAAAGTCACACCCGTATCCTAATAATGAAGGGTTTTTTTACTCAAAAACTAAATGCTTATTTATATGAGTTGGATATTGAACGAAAAGCGAAGCGCTTGATGGTGTGGGTGCAAACGTAAGTAAATCTGAGCCTAGTAGCACATCCACACCCACTATAGAAAACATGGCTACTTTAAGAAAAATAATTGAAAATGCTATAAAATATGTTATAGGGATAAACATTCGAGTTGTATGATTTTTTAAATTATTTTTTAAATTATTTTTTGTATATTAATAATGCACTGAAAAAAAAGCACTACACGGAACCAAGAAGGTTTTGTCTTCAGTGCGCAACTCATAAAAGGTGTCGAAGCCTCTCACTGAATTGAAAAATGGTTTCGCAGATACTACGAAACCTAAAAAAGGTATCGAACTTTGAAACGAATTATGAACCTTTTTTTAGATTTCGTAGGTTTTCCACAAAACCTTCGAAAACGTTTCCTAGACTCTTGATAATCATTTTGAGACTATCTTGGATTTTCAGGAAACATTTTTGAAGGTTTAGAATTCGTTTCAAAAATGGTTCCGTTTGGTGCTATTTTTTACCCAGTGTGGATTTTAGATTTTGTTTTGATTACTATAGTTATATTTTCTTGAACTCACATATATTTTTGAAGAAAATGGTGAGTGTAAGGTTAAAGGCAAGGTCGTTGTGGCTCCTTCTCTTATCCATTGCAGATATTAACAAGCGTACAAAAATGAAATAAGACATTTTATTCTCCCGATCGATTTTCTCGCAGCACATTTCATAGTTTACGTATTGTGTACTAGTAGAATTAGGTGGCAAGTCATATGTGATCTCCACATTTTAGCGTCAAAGGGCTGCGCTAACTAGCTTTTTCTTCAATATTCATTTCTTTGTTTCAATCTAATCTATTGAACAAATGTTGTTTACCAGATTAATCACAATTTTATTATCATACATTTTAAAGTCAACTAGCTCTACCC